TTGCAACTCAATCACATCCCTGCAATGAGGCAGAGCAATTTGCTTAGAACAGCTACAGTTCTGTTGGGAAGCTGACAAGACTGATTGTCTAGATACTTACAAGCTCAACTTGTCTCTGCTGGAATAGCAAAAGAATCCCTAACATCCACCAGGGCATCCTCCTTGACAGGTGTCAATGCTTGTTCAAAACCTTGGAAATGGTGGTGTCAGAAGCCATAGGCATGAACAGAAAAATAACAAATTTCATTCTTCRAAATGTCTAAGCCCCTTCATAACACAAAAGCAAACCTCTTGAGATATATAATTTTATTAGGGTGCTTAGTACTTAAATGCATTTTTCCACGAAGTTTCCTCTAAGGCCTTGTTTCTGACTTACAGCATAAACACTAAAACAAGGCAAGAATACCACGGGAGCACTTCTGTTGTGTTTGGCAATATCCCAAATGTAGTCAGTTTGGAAACAGCTATCTATGGCTTAACTGTTGGACTTGGATTGATCCCAAGTGCAATGTTTCAAATAGGATTTATGATAACATGCATGAGTGTGTCCCAACATTTCAGTCTTTTTGATGATGTTTGTCAGAGATGAAGCCTGATTTTGGAAAACAAACACTGAGGGGTCTATCAGTTGTGCTGATTGCCTCTGGGGACAGTAATGAAGAAAAGCAATGTGAAACAGYGTTCTCAAGTGGTATTTTATCAGCTCACACTCCTCATCCAGGGCAAAAATCCTGTAGCACTTCTTCATTCAAACATATAAAATGCTGATTGTGTTGATTGGTATCAAGCTGACATTTGACCATTTAGCTAATATTCAGAATYGGACTGTTTATGGTGCTTTTGAAAAAGACCGGAGTCAGTGAGATTTAAAGCTGTAATAACTGTATGCAAGTGGACTTGGCTGGGCACCCCTGCTATCCCAAGTGCTATAAAAATGGTAGTTCAGAGTATTTTCAACCTCCTGCTGTAACTTTTATTTTATTCAGTAAAAGTTTTCTTTTATTGAATCATTAATACCTTTGGAATGAAACATGTTTCAATATATTTATTCTAAAGATGAAAATTCAAAAGATTTCTGCACCTTTAGGGTAGAAGGCCACTACACAGCATATATACTATTGTAAGCACTCCCCCACATCCTCTAAACATACTTGTTTTGAATGTGTTATAGTTTCAAACATAATGTGTTATTTCTAACACAGAGACCATGTTTCTGTTTTGCAGAAACTCAGCTATTTTTTTCAGTTGTTAGAATGTCAAATTTCTGCTTGAACCATCTCATTGCTATAACATTTGATCAGCCAGCCAGCTAGTTTTACTATGACGCTTATACTTTGAAACTTCCTACATTAGCATTTAAAGTTTTATTGGAAATTATATGAGAACCGATAAAAAGAGAATCCAAATCTGATACAACACTAAGTTCTTTAASAGTAGCAAAGTATTTCTGCAACTCAGGGCAGAAGAAGGGAGCATTTGTGTGCAACATCAGAACTGACGTGTCATTTCATCTAATTGCACCAATACTTCGCTCAATTAGATAAAAGCCTGTAACACCACCACTCCATGAACTAAGGTAAGAAGAAAAGCCAGCTTCTCAATTCCATGTAAATTACAGACTTCTATGACTGAAAACATACCTTTCAGTGCTCTTTGTTCTTGATCCATTAGAATAATATAGATTTCATTAACATTGTATATGCCTCTAAGAGAACCTTTTTTTTTGAAGCTCATTTTAAACACTTAAAACCAGAAAAACAGAGTAACTTTGAGAAAAAGAACCAGGTTATTTCAAGAGAGTCCTAACTAGTGATTAGGGCAGTGAAACCAGAATCTTCCAATGATTTAGTTTTATTGTCTTAGAAACAGCTACATTTTTTTTCTTTATACACCTAAAAGAAACAAATAACAGAATGAGAAATCCTCTTCTTGAGSAGCAACCATTTTCCATAGGTCTGCAGCTTTCTGGAGATCATGTTAAAATTTGTGGGCTTTCCTATGAGCTACAGCCAGTCATCTTTAGCAGAGCTTGGATCACTTCTGCTGTTACCACAGTAAGCATTACAGCACACAAATATCAGCAGCCTATTGTTGAGGTCAGTTTAAGATAAGAGGAATAAAATAGTCAGCTTTCTTGCTGTGTCTCAGGCTTGATCATTCCAGTGACTGACTTCTTTGTAGAATTCCATTTATGTATAGAAATAATACCCATAAGGATAATGGAGAAACCCTATATAATTACACCTCCTGCTCAAGAATTTCAGGATCAGAGAATTAGTGAGGTTGGCAGAGGCCTCTGCAGGTTAYCTAATCCAAATCCCTGCTAAAAGCAGCATCAGCTACAACAGGTTGTTCAGGACTCTGTCTAGCTGAGCTCTAAATGTCTCCAAGGATGAAGACACCATAACCTCTCAGTGTTTTCTTGTTCAGGCAGTTTCACATGCCGTCATTTGTGACTGGCTGGGAAAAACAGAAATTATTTTCTTATAATGGCATCAAGTTTACCTATGTTCTCTTAAGACATGATGGCCCTTCTAAATCTTCATGTGCTAAGTAATCAGCCAAGCCATTCTGGTAATATTTGGGTTTCAAATTCTTGGGGGCTTAAAASCTTCATAACTCATACTGTTGTTTTTCTAATTGGGAAAATAGCTGTCGCTCTCTCTTTAACTTTTCCTTTTTCCAAAGCTAGTTCTTTCCACACATCTTGTCTAAAGAGGTCTCCTATGAGTTGCTCTAGGCTACAGCACTGAAAGACACTACCACATAARAAGTACTCCCAAAATTTACTGATAATGGGTGAGATCTTGAAGAAAGCAGAAGAGAAGATCAGAAGGCAAGATAGAAATACGATAAAGGAGACAAATCCACAACTGCATATCTTATTTCATCTGTCCTTCACCGATTCCCTACAATCATCCTTGGCAGACTGGAAGGTGAAAGATAGGAAGGAAATACCAAGATTTAGGTTATGTCTATATACTGCTAGATTTATTAGAACAGAGCCTAGTTGCTCTGGCAAAAAGAAAGAAACCAGGAATTACTCATCTTTTGAGGAAATTAAACTATGACAATAATTACCTTTTCCAAAAGTTTTTTTTTTGTTTGTTTGTTTTTTTAAATTTAAAAACACTTGTTTAATACAGTGCTTTTTGGATGATGGTCCTCAATGAATTAAACTGTTGCACTGATCAGAATATTAATGACCAGTACATGGCAAGTGATTGAAGCCATATCTTCCCATCTCTAAAGCAGTGTTGTCCAGAAGCAAATCTTGTTTTCTACCAAAATATCAGTTCAGAGAATTTCCTATTTCATGCTTTCTGTGCCTGACTCATGTATGCTTAGACAGGTCCTATGACAAAGATCTGAATTTTTTTTAGTTTATTCTGGAGATCCTCTCCTAAAATACATAGCATAAAACACTATTCAGTAGCTGTCAGCATGGTATTCAAAATAAGATACGTATTTCCCCACTAACATCTGTCAAAGAGAGGCTTACCTTCAGGAGATCTTGTGACTACCTTAGGTCATAACTGAAGGGTCTTTGYACCCAACAGCCATCAGCAACCAACTTGTGGAAAATTGAGAATGTCCAATTAAATCCTGTATTTGTAAAACTGAAATTGTCAAAGATAACAAACATATCTTCTAGAGTTTATTTGTAGAGTGGCTTTGTGGTTTTTCATTGAATCTTAAATCAAAGATTTTGGGAGGCTTTTTACACAAACCGTGAGAACTGTACACCCTGAATCTCTACAAGAGACTGAAAGCTTTAAATAGGAAAAGCCACTATTCACTCTGTGCATGGGCAGTTGTCAGAGTGAATCCAAGATTGTGCCTTTGCCAAGGACGAAGCCATGGAAAGTTTTCTGTATGATCATACTTACAGTCCTGCAGCATATTTCAGCTTCATGCCCTGCAAGAGAGGCCACCAAGGAAAGCAGATGTGCAGGACAGTTAGATGCTGCTACCTTTGCAACCTCCATTTGTGTGAGCAACTGCTGCTTCAGATTTGGATTAATACCTGTGCCTACACCAGAATGTGAGATGATGTTCCAGTATTCCAGCATGTGCGTTCCACCAAAAGCTGTTAGTTGCCAAAAATACTCCTGTTCGTTATTTTTCCAAGCTTAAATTTCCACTGTCTTCCAGTTGGGGCAAGGAACACTTTTAAACCCAATAGTTATATAGATTTGTAGAAAACTGTACATTAGGTGCACACAAAATAAGAGTCACTGTCAAGTGAAATACCTTTTACAGGTCGTATTTTTTCAGTTGTCTTGAGAAGCCCATCCCATCATTTTCTAAGCCAACCCTCATCTCTGAGCATAAAGGACAAGTTGTACCTGTGAGAAGCTTCTGTTTTAGACACTACGTCACATCTCCTTGATGGATGCTGCCATCTCTTGAGGAAGGTGGTTAGGTATTTCTGTATAGTTCAGTGGAGAAGATAAAGAGCAGCTCTAAGGCTCTTTATTCTGGCTCAGAATTTCTCATGAAATGGTCCTGAATAAGCAGGCCTATTCAGTCTGGAGATAAGGGGGAGCCTGACCCTCCATGCTGGCCAGGCTCATCCAACAAAGTTAAGGCACTTCAGTGAGGGCTTGAAATCTGTAAGATCAGAAGAGATGCACTGCTCGGGGAGACAGTGCAGAAGAAGTAGGAGCGCTTCAAAATCAAGTATTTTCATAGAAATATAGTACAGATACTAAGATATCCTACTTTATGTAATGCTGATCTGGACTATTCTAGAGCTCTGCAGAGGATAGAACTATAGCAGTAGAACTTGAATTTATCAGGCCTTTGGAATAACTTTCCAAAACACTCAGACATACACAAGTTATCCTTTTGCAAAAATTGCATTTCTTTGCTTACTTCACAGTAAACACATCATAAAACATTATAAAACTTCCTATTATTCTAAGAAAGCCTCTGAGTGTATTACTTCTTCTTTTTCTTTTCTTTTTTTTTTTTTTTTGGCTGCTCATACTTGCTACAGACGACTTTTACCCACTCATTTAACATGAAGGCCTTTATTTCCATCTTTCTATCCAGACTATAGCATTTTTCTCTTTAAGATCAATACAGAAAAAATCAGTCCTCTTGTATTACCATTTTCACACCTCCTTCAGAGACAAGATGATGCCTCCTAACATTTGTCATACACACAACTATAGTAGACATCCCACCCGGAAAACCACACTTTAAGCCACTCCAAATAGCAGACCCTCTAGAGCAGAGTTTATGTTCAAAGTTACTATTGCTTGACCATGTGCAATATCATCTCTTGAAACCAAATGAGCTTAAAATTGTAGCAAGAGCTGTTTTATAGATTTGGCATGCATTTCAGGTTTAAATCAGTACTGTACTGACATTCAAAAATTTCAGTCCCCATACAGACTGAGATGAACAGCACTTTTATTTATTTCAGTTACAAGACAAGTAAACCTTACAACCAGAAAGGCAATGAAGGCCTCATGAGCTTAGTGAAAACCATTTCATAATCTAGGCAATGTTATGATTTCTTGAGATCACAAAGAAAGCATACCCCCTCTTAAAACAACTTTTCCTTATTTCTGTAAAGAAGTTTCCTGAAAGAATAGCACACTGATGTTAACAGAATCAAGAGGGACCACCGATGTACAAAGCCTACACTCACCCTCCCATCCCCCGCAAAAGGCTTAAGTGTAGATTTTATTCCAAAAAAGATAACATGCAGTCATGATCACATCTAGAGAAGAGGGGAAAATTAAATTCTGTTTTGAAACAAAGACAAATCATTACTCATTAATGAAGTTAAATGAAGATACTTTTTCACATGGCAGTGTACTTCACAGGTAAAGAAAACCCTTCTTATTTTAAGCCAGAGCTTATCTGAACTTTGTAGTAAAGAGAAAATAGCTTACATAAAAACTCATCCCCCTACCAAGCACTCTAGATAAGAACTATGATGTAAGAAAAGTGCTAGAAACATGTGGGAGAAATTACTATACAAAGTGTCAAGTGCAACCCCCCACCCTCAACCCCTTGCCTAGAAATCAGTGTATTTACTGAAGTACAATAGAAAAGATCGTATTCAGGAGTAGTTGACAGTGGGATACAGTGCTACAGGTTGAACAATGGCCACTAAAGGACAAAGCCAAGCATGCATGTACCCCACCACAAGGGAAAGATGTGCTTGAGCTTTCCAACCTGCTCATTTCTGCAGTTTGCTCAGTATTATCTCCTTCCTCATTACCAACTTAATTCTTGCAGTCCTTTGAAGAGACCACTTCTAAAAATGTCCATAATTCTACATTTGACAAAAGAATTAACTTGCTATTTCAAAGAATACAGAGCTGAAAAAAGAAAAAGCTTACAACTCATGTCTTCTGTTGTTCTTCTAACTAGTATTGGACGTATAAAACATGAGGAAGTACCAGATCAAGTACTGTTCCATCATCCTTTGCTGTTTGAGCAATAAAGCTGAGGCAGACCGTAACTTCTTCAGTCAATCTTTAGCTGGTCTTTACCTGTGCTTTATGCCAGTTCTCAGTCTCCCTCACTTAACTGTCAGGGATACATTTATTACACAGTACTCACAGTAAGTCTCAGAATTTCAGGCAGACCTATTAATTGCCCAGGAGTCTCCTTTTGGCTCAGTGAAGACTTCTGAGTATCTTAACTTACATTCATTCCGGAGGCAGCCACCATGATTCCATTTACCCAAAGAGCTATTTGGAGTGGGGCTGTTACCATCTTGAAGTTGCAGTTTAAAGTTAACCAGTAACAAAAGAGTACTTTTCCATATTTCCAGTAGAGGAGCTGAGAAAAAAAATCTGTAAGAAACCATTGCTGCAATTTTATTTTAACAAAAGGGCAGATTTATTCATGTTTACAAACAAGTTTCAAAAACAAAAAGGAGAACATGTATGCTACCCACTAACAACCTTTCAAAATGCCAACAGCCCTCATGCTGCATGAAGGATTCTATAGATTAGAAAAAAATCACAGTTCCACTCACAGTTCACCAAGACAGCACTAAACTAACATGATTTGACAAAAACAAAGGACTAGGATTCTGATGTATTTTGATTTAATCCACTTTGCCCGAGAAAACAGAAATATTTCAAGCAAGTTCCATCACGTATTGATGTCCTGCATTAAACAATCCTACTAAGTTCTGAACAAAAGTTATTCATTAAGTTTCTCAAAATTTTTAAAAATTAAACAGTTGTTTCAAAACCATTAAGTAGTAAATGTATTTAAGAAACTAATTAGGACAGAGGCCATAACTTCATTAGAACACCACTGCTCATGTTTTTACAAAGCATTAGTGTTATCTATTTGGCTATTAGTAGTAGCAATTTATCTACAATATTTAACAAGGTAAATTGCAGGCAAAATTTAGTACAGTTTCAATAGAAACACCCTTTTCCTGAAAATACAGCAGTATTTGAAGGACTAGTTTTTTTGGTTTTTTTTGTTTTGTTTTTTTGTCTTCTCTGCATCATTTATAAGGAAGCTTCCCATCTATGAACAGGAACAAAAAAGTATCTACAAACCTTGTAAACAGATCTGTATCATTTATAAACATAAATAATCCAAATTATTAACAGCCAACAGCAGAAATTAAAGTATCAATTCACTGATCCAGGGCCTCCTTGCCCTTCCCAGCTTTCCCCTCAGAAAAGGATCATGATAAACTAAAGCTCTGCTAACACACTGTTCAGGACCATTCTTATTACAACAGATGATCCACAGGTCACTTATGCTGAGTTACTGTTTATCTGTCAGAGTTCATTATTACTCCCACCCCCAGAAAAGCACCCTCCAGTCTGGCAGAAAGCTTTTTTTTAAAAAAATAAATCTACATTCGTACAAGTGTGTCTTCTGTTGAAGTCCAAGACAAGAATATCATCTTGTCCATCATAATGTGTGAAGAGACCCAGTTTCAATTTCTTTACAATGCAGCTAGTGTGTTAACATTCAGCTTACAATCAGAGTGATGTTTCCAAACTATGTAGTGGGCTCCCTGGGGATGAAGAGGTAGCAGACTTGTTCTTGTCTGTTGTAAGGTGAATTCCACTGTCAACCGCATTGTTATTTCTATTGGGAGAGGGAGGGGGACTAGAGTTGCGTTTTGTTGGAGCGTCATCTTCAGCATCAGTATCATCAATAAGGGGAATATGAGGCTCGGAGTCTTCTATTCTAAACTCAGGATGCGTCATAAAATTGTGAATTGAACTTCGTGTCTCAGGTTTCTCTAGCCCCTCGTACAAGGAGCTACGAAATGCATTCACCACTCGGATCTGTAAACAAAGAAAAAATGTTGTTAAAATGCTGCAGATTTACTGATGATGGCATGGTTCTTATGAGTTTGAATCCACAAACAGCTAGACATGAGTGAATCAAATTTGTATGATGCAGTGGAACTTGCAATAAACTGTAAAAAATGAAGAGCGTTTCAGTAGAGCATTGCCAGTCTACACAGTAGGAATAAAAATTGTGAAAGTACTGCAAAAAGCTGAAGGGCCCTAAAAATTCAGACATGGCACTAGAATTGTTTAATTATTTAACATGGGCTAAGCATTTTTCAGAAGTGAGGCCAACAAATATTTACTTATTCACAAATTAAATAAATCTCCGTGAGTGTTTTRTTGAATATTTGGGAGAGGTTGGAGGGTGGGAAGGAGGGGAGAGGCTGAAAATAAGTTAGGGGGCAAAAGGGTCACTAATTCTCATGCTAGGAATTATGATGTCAGCTGATTATGAAAAAGCCAAGCAAGTGTAAGCCAATGTCACAATGAATGAACATTTACGAATTCATGCAAAAAAGGATACTGCTGTAACAGCTGTAAATATTCGAGTATATAGCCATTTACCACGCTAGAGAAAGCTCCTTAGTGAACAGTGCTTTGAAAACTTAAGACCAGAGCCAGGAAATTGAATACTGTATTGCACAGTTTAGTAGCCAGGACAGGTTGTAACTTTGAAGAGACTATTTAAGCAGCGCCAAGTATGAAAAAATCAGGATGATCAGCCTTTGCTCGACTCTTCTATTTACATTGAATTCATGGACAAAATTCCCAGGCTGAGAACTGTTTCATATCTTTTTGTTGAATGGTAAAACAAGTAAGGCAATGCAGAAGTCAGTGACCCATTTGTCCAACATTTTTGCCAAGACAGAGTTTCCCCCTACTGTTGACTACTGTTGATTCAATTCTCAACAACCCTACCCTGAACAAGTCTCCAGCAAAGCAGTGTCAAATAGTGTTAAATAGTAAGCAGCAGAGCAACTGTGTGGTAAACAAGAGCTCACTGTTATAAGCAGCAAGTCAAATTTAAAGCTTTTTAAGCACATTCAAGATAACTTGTTTCAAGCTGAGAAATATATCAYGACTAGTGCTTCCACAGTTCATCGACAGTAAAAATAAAGTGACTTCCAGGTGAAGGAATGAAGCTGGAAAGTCAAGTAGATCAAGAGCAGAGACTTCAAAACAGCTAAGATACACCAAGGAAGTTCACTGTATACAGAGAAAGGCTCCTCAACAGCAATGTTTTAAATCAAAATGGTTAAATAGAACTGCACATGGTAAAGTCTTATGTCCTGTGTTCTTTGACCTCTAGAAAAAGCGTTGTTTCCCCACCTCTGCTCCCTCAGACCACTTGCACGAAGAATTTTACTCCAAAGCTATAATGTCCCCATTTTTACACTACAGGTCCATGCTGAGCCAAATTAACCATGGAGGCAAGGGAAAAGGGCACAGGAGATAAGGGGACACAAGGATGAGTTACCCACTCAAGGGGGAGGACATATCTACCAGTAAGGGGAGGACAGGAAAGAGAGTGAATGAGAAAGGATTACAACAGCAGCAAAGTCCTTTAGTGTTCATTGCAGGAAAAGAATTGAGCACGCTGTCAAAGCGTTGGCGCGTTATATGAAGTTTAAACAAGTCCAGCCAGCTGCCTAAACTGTCTTGGCACTTACCAAGAAAATTAGCAGTGACAATGCCAGACAAAGTTTGCAATGCCTTTATTTGGCATGTTGCATCCTGCTATGCCATTTATGTGGCAAAATGAAATATGAATGTCTCATGGGACTGTCTTTTCATTGCTTACAGATGAGAAATTAGATCATCAGCAGCAATGAAAAACAATTCTGGCTTAAGAGAATAGCTGTAATTATCATAGAATATAAGCATACCCACAATAAAGGCTTGSTTGCCATGCAGAATCCATACTACACAAGTGGACTTGACACTCCAGCAAGCCCAGGACCCCCAGAGCCCAGCTACAAAGGCAGAAATCAAACTTTCAGCACTTAAAAGGGAATATCTAGTGTTTTCAAGGCTCTATTTTCAACCACTCAAGATAATTAAACTAGAGGGATAACTATAAATAAATYATGTAAGTGAGGTGCAAACAAGACAACTTGTTAAATGTAATTTATACTGTCATCAGGCCTTCCTCATATTAGTACCAGAATAGCAAGGAATGCAGTTGGCTCTCCAAATCCTCCTAACCAGGTGGCTGTTTAAGAGTTACATAGGAACTTACTTCATAGGAACTATTTTCCAACAAACAGCTCCAAAAGAGATAATAACACATCTGCTTCCCATTAATATATMTATTAGTTTTCAGAAGTTGTTCTTCTGGAGAGCTAAGCAGAAGGCTGTATTAGTGAGAATAAAAAACTAGTTCTTTGCTAYGGTAGCTCTGTATCTGCGCTGGTCATTTGATGCAATGAGATGCTGCAGTGCCCAGTAGATTCTGCTCAAATAGCAGCATGGAATGACATTGCTCTCTAGAGAATTCTGAATGTCTAATTAATGTTCTGGAGTGTAGTTAGGGATACAGGTTACTAATTAGCATTTTAACTAGGGGATGCAATCCTGTGCATCTGTAAGTGTTAAATCTACTTTTCATGTTGTGTTCTTGAGGCATGCAAATTTGTGAGCTRAGCTTCTCAGTACCACTGCAAGGTAGAGAAATACCTGTCTCGCCAAAGGAGAACAAATACAGAGGTAAATGCTTGTGCAAGCTCAAACACGAATTGTAGTCGAGCCCAAAACCAGAAAATAAATTTAAAAAATATCTGAAGAGATCAGTTCACTTAAGACAGCTCCTGAAATTAAGCATCTTCATCCATCTGGTAATCTGAAAGTTTAAGCAGGGAGGGGAAGGGGGAGCAGAAGCCCTCTCAAGAGTTATTTTACGAAACCAATTACTTAACCCGTCTCTAGGAAGTTAGAGAAGAAAGTTAAACACATATAAAGATGGAAAATTCTTAACAAATATATAGGCTATCAGTATTCAACTACAACTGCTATGCATCTTCTGGCTCCAGAGCTTAGGTCTACATCCAAGAGTAAATGAATCTCTATCCTCTACAGAGAGGAAGGCTGAAACTGAAATGCCACTTAAGAGCAGAATACAGAGGGCAGAATTGAGGTGAGACAAACTTCTCTTTCACTGATGGTTTTTGAACTGCTCCCAGAAGAACCTAGAGAGAAAAAAGAACTCTTCAGATTTGAATGAAACTTTCACCATTTAATGCTTAAAATTTTTGTCCTTTTTCTATTAGCTAATTCATATTTCTTCTGACTTGTATTCGTTTTAGAAGCCTTGTTTCGCCACCTGAATCCTGATGTTGAAAAAGTCGTTATTCAGTAAATAAGGTCCAAGGAAAGCAGAGGTTCATAAAGTTCCTCACAGGCTACAAAGAAAATACATTTAGTGCTCCATGTTCTAACTACATTCATATTTTCAACCACTATTTGCTTCAAAATCAGCTTGCTTACTTAAGTATTGTTTGTGCTGCAGTGCAAGAGACATATTTTTTTTTGACCTGGGTCCATGATGACACAATAATTCACTTATTCAATGTAAGACACCCTAAGAGGCATATACTCGAAAATTTACAACAGTTTTCCCTTTTTATCTTAAAAAACCCTCTGTACACGAATGGATGAAGGCACAGGATGTGCAGGCTCACAGCTTTCGCATTAAAGTCTCTTGTTGAAATTGTTCCACCTGTTCTCAGCCCTCTAAGAAAAAAAGAGTCTTGAGGACTCCACTTTGTGGGACAGCTCTATAAAAGCCTGAACGATGATTTTAAGTACTAAGGAGAAAATGAGAAACGTTAGGTACGTGAATTAGGAAATGTTAATTTCATGCACTTTAGGAACACACACTCACACCCCACAGTAGTAGAAGCAGTAGTAGAGGAAAACACTACATGTGTAGGGGTAGAAATATTTGTTACATCATGGTGCTGGCTGGCGATGGAGGGTTGCCGCCTTAGAGCCCCCTGAATGGTACTTCCACTCTGGAAAGCATTCACTACATCCATCTGCAAGGAATCAGAGATTGTGACAGCTTGCTCAGCAAGAGAGAGAGAGAACAAGAAAAAGGACCATCCCATCTACAACACACAAAAAGTAAAGAAAAAAGGCACTTTTTAAAAACAGAGCAGATATAAAGGCAAGAGTTGCATTTAAAGCTGAAGAAAACAGAGGACCCTGAGGGATTACACATCCATCCATAYCCCCGTGACAGTCTCAATCATATCAGTTAGAACTGCCACCTTTTACAAAGATGGAGAGATTTCCCTCATAAGACCCCCTGCATCCTACCTTTTCAAGACCATACCTGAGTTTGTATCCTGTTTAGGCCCCTAAACCACAAGATCTGACCACGACGCAATTCCCTCTCAGCATGATCAATCTCCTCTACATCTTCTGCTAGTTCTTCTTCAGGAATCTCTTCCTTTTGTGTTCCATGACCAGCTTCTTTAAGGAATTTCAGGCGGCTGGTTGGAATTGTTGAAATCAACTAACAGTGAATGAAATATATAAATCAGGATTACTTGTTTCTTGACAAAAATAAAGTAATACCAGTCTTATGATAGCATGCATACAATTAGCAAAGTTGAAAAAACTAATTACATAAACAAGATGAGTGTATCAATGTAAAACAGACACTCCAGCTGAATAGTTGCAAAGCTGTGAATATACTTACTACCTCAACCGAGGTGTAAAACTAAACTTGAACTACAAAACAACCTTGCCAAGGACAAAGAATTCCACACTGACAATGCCAGGAAGGAGCATTACTGAAGCTACAAAAGCCATTAGTCTTGTAGATTGTATTTGTACTAGAGCTTTTAGAATTTCATCTGCTTGATGAGTATAATGTGTCACCAAGTGGGACCTCCATCAACTACAGTAACCACAGTTAATTTAGTAATACAGAAGAGACATTCATTCATTTGTGACCTGCAAGATATCAATCCATTTGCAAGGTGAGTGATGTTTCCAAAATTGTACGTATCTCAAGGGTTACTTTGCTACTTGGTGCATAGCACTTTATGTATCTTAAACAAAAGCTACACATGGTCAAGGGGAGTCATCTTTTGATACATCCCATCCAAGACTGCTTTCCTTGATCATCACAAACCTAGAAGACTATTTCTGAAGCTGCAGAGGCAAAAAGACTGCTCCAAAAGCAAAATAAGCAGTCCTTTATATTGAAACTGCTACTATGAATGCTCATAGCTCACATTTCAGTTTCTATTATTCTCAGAAAATTAAAGCTCTTTGACTTTAATGAGACGCTAGAGCAGCATGAACTGCAGCAAGGAAGCTTTGCCCTTTCAAGATACTTTGGGTCAAAGGTATTTCAAGCCATCTCAATTCTCTTCTAGGCTACTTTTAAACCTCAGAGTGACTCCATTTGATTTTTTTAAATAATTAATTTTCCAGAGAACCTTTTAAAAAGCTTAGTGACTTCTAAAATGTGTCTATATGTGTATAGACAACTAAAACTCATCCTATCAATTTTATGGTGAAACATGAAGTGTCTTTTACTTAGTGGAAGGAAAGAAACTGTAATGGAAAACTCTTCATGTGGTATGAAAAGTTTAGACAACTATGTCATTAAATAATAGAAAACTCTGTAGCTCTAAAGTTTCACGTAAATAAGCTTGCTGCTTACAAGCACTGTTGTGCATGCAATAGTAATGACACTCTGGGGGGAGGGGGAAGGAAAAAAAGTCCAAATGTAATGCCTTAATAGGTGGGAGGACTTTCAATCATGTCAAAATTATGCAAATGAAGATTAAAGAGAAAGTTGGTTTGAGTTTTGCTGCATTTCTTGCTACTCCAGGTTTTTAATTCAAGAAAGTACTGTCAAGTTTACCAATTCCAATTTCTCAAGAAAACCATTAAACATCAAGTCAAATATATTTTATCATTAACATGTTCATTGCATCTTGTATTCTTGCAAAAATTTCTGGTACTCATATCTGTCAGAAGATATAATTTCATATTTAAATAGTAACTACAGCTGCTTCTGGTTAAAAATTGCTAAACAAAACAGCCACAGCATCTAGTTATGAAATGTAAAAAACTGACCAACTCTGAGGAAGAAATATTCAACTAAGGACTTTCTAGCTATTGAATGAGTCAATGTTAATTAACATTTACTGTTAGTCTCCATATATTCATATAGTCCACTTGAAAGATCTAAATGCTAGTGTATTTGCATTTTCCATTTAAAGTATACTATTGCAAGTAGATATTTGGCATTTTTAAAAGATGCTGGTTTACCTGGCCCCAAAGTAGTGTGCCCATGCCCAGGAAAATGGACCATAGCCACTGTTCAATTGAGAGTTCTGAGCAACTGAAAGGTTTCCCACCAAACTGMACAATAATTATCTGTGAAGAACAACATAATTAAACATGTATCAGTGACCCATTACTAGAAAATTCCCTAATGCTTTAGGATCACAACAGGCAGGTCTGCAACAGGATTTTTCATGTTATTAAGCATATTCTTCCACTGTCTCAGCAGTTTGAGCAGTTTCCAAACCTAAGTCATATTTTCATGCTTTCCCGTGTTTTAAGAACTACCCATTTATTGCTCAAATGTAACACTCCTCAATTTTACATGCAGTTTCTTCCCTTCATTTCACTATTACAACGTGTACTTGATGTTGCAAATATATAGTGAGTACTCTTTATATGAACACCCATCTTGGAACTTAACCGATTCACAAACTCGTATCAAAAGAATTCATGGATCCACAAGACACAAAGTATTTCAGAAGTAATTTTACAGGATATTACTATGTATCACACACATGTTAAACATCAGACTTTAAATCACCACTTGCAGTAGGTTTGGGGAAAGGGGGCAGAGATCTCAAAGGCTAAATTAAATAAGCTCCTACTGACTTAGCTATTACAACAAGCCGTACGGGCCCTAATGAGCAAGGTGTCTCTCTGCATAGGAATTATATTCATGGAAGWCTGCCCTGAGAATCAACAATTCAAAGTAGCACGGCAGGCATGAAAAGGAGACACGGTATTGAACATTAAGTAGGACACCCAACAGCTGAAAAGGCAAAGAGTATCTTCTGTTATTAACTCAGAATGAAACACTGACAAATCAGGAGCTGGGAAGATATTTGGTCTGCAAAATTTATCAAGGGAACACAGGGGCAGTCAGGAGTAATTTCTAAATGGTTGGTTTTGTTCTACAACAATCAATCTCCTGCATATGCAACCCTGAAACTAAGAGTAGCTTTCTTAACAAGTGTCATCTACAAAAATCTAAACCTGTGAGAGTAAGTGCCCTAACTTAACGTGAAGCAGAGGTGCAYATATTTCCAATGCTTGAACTGACGTGAATTCCATCAACTTGATGGAATACCAAGTCTAAGGACAAGCTTAATGTATAGGTTATACGTTATGTCCAAAATAATTTGATCAAAAATGAAAATGGGTTTTGAAATTAAGTAATATACTGATTTATTTGTTATTTCTTCTGATTAATTAAAGTTAAGGCTATTTGGAAGGTAAAAGTATTTCTTGTAAATTATTTTCTGTATATTCAATTTTAACTTGTTGTTTCTCAACATCAGCATGTGAACCCAATCAGTGGAAGATAGTATATGATAACAAAGGAAATTAGATTAAGTTAACTAATTAGCTTTCATGAATTCCCCTAGATGCCCCAAAACAAGGTCCTTGGATATCAGAGGTTTTTTTTCACTTAAAACAGGACCTCTACAATATATACCAGTAGGTATCACTAATTTCTGTGCCAGCAAGGTAAACACTGGTACTTCAATTTCTAAAGTTTATTCATGTCCGATTCTGATTCAGGAAATAAAAGAAGTTGTACCTTTTCTGTAATGGTTTAGGTGGACTCTTGTTCAGCTGCACCGGCAAATATTACACGGAAGATTTAGGGGCAAGGGATGAATGGATAGACAACACATACATTTTCTTCATATTTTGCCAAGAGACTAGAACACTGAGATCAAATTGAAGGACTAGAAAATTCAAAGGATAACTACATTCCAGTTTTAGCAATTTCAAAGAGGGCTTATCTGAAAACAAGATCAAGCTGCACTTACAACTGACTTATTGTGTGCTTGACATTGAAGGTTTTTCTCATTGTAGAAATTACATCTCTGGCACTAGTTGATTGGCATTTCCAAGGTAAGCAAGTATATCAGTGTACTAAATGCATTTTCCCTCTGCCCTCCAAAAATCTGCTTACCTGCACAACAAATGTCCCCAGCACAATAGAACAGAAGATAGCGTTGTTAAAGATTCCTTCAAAAACGTTTCTTTCACCATGAATTTTTCGGGCATTAATTTCATTAAAAAGCTGCATCATCACAAATGTATTAAATACTATAGTATAATGCTCTGAAGGAGGAGCATGCAGAGGTGCATTTCTTCCACTATCGATATCAAAAATTTTCTCACCTGTGTATAAAAGGCATTTATGGACAGCTTTATTAGTGTCTTTACACATACACTAGAACAACAAAAAATTTTTAATGTCTCTACAACATTCAGAATAACTTTGCAAAGCCTCAGTATTCTTACCAGCAAACAGGAGCGTGAAGACAACTACCAGCTGGTAGAATGCATGACCCAGAATATTCTTCATCATTGTACGAGAAATCAATGGTTTGTTTCTACCATAAGGCTTTCGCAACAGAAGAGCTTCAGTGGGTGGTTCTGTTGCCAGGGCAAGAGAAGCTAATGTGTCCATTATGAGATTTACCCAGAGCATCTGCACAGCTTTAAGTGGAGAATCCTATAAAGACAGATACATTAACCCTCCAATAGAAGTGCACAAATTACAGCTATTAAAACCATTTATTATACAATATTGGCATGTTCTGAGGAGCATTGTGTGCTTTGGTCTRCAATGTAACTGAAAGTTTGAAAACTCAAGAGTTAATCAATCATGACTTTTTCAACCCTTATTAGCTGAAACAATCCCCCAGTGGTACGTACCTGTGTTATACATGCTCCTGTAAAAGCAACAATTACTGCTACTACATTGACAGTAAGCTGAAACTGAAGAAACTTGGAGATACTGTCGTAGACGTTTCGTCCCCACATAACTGCTTTAACAATACTTGTGAAGTTGTCGTCTGTAAGGATAATGTCAGAAGCTTCTTTAGCTACATCTGTTCCAGCAATACCCTGGTAGAAAAAGAAAAACATTATGACATATAACAAGATGCACTGACTTTTTATGCCAAAAGCTGTTATGCCCTTGGTCAGCATTCACTGGGATGCACCATGTCTAATGGACTCCTTCAAAATAAGAATCTAAAGGCCTACTGAAACAAATTCTACTTTAAAGTACTATTCAAGCATGGGAAAATGTAAACAAACAATGTAATGTTGTCTTTAAAAGACATTAATACTAATCTGAAAATTGACAATACACTAAGTCCTCCCAAAGAAATATTACTGAGCCCTATTCAAGCTGAAGGCCACCAGATGGTGCAGTGCTACAGTTCAGGCTTTGCCCTAATCATTTTGTTGGGAGGACTGCAGCAGCAGGCAACATGTGCTTGAAACACAGAATGATAAAGATTACCTTTTGMAGAAGGGCATTAGCATTAAACAGTAGAATATGCAATGCCATTGCATATGCATTGCAATACAACATGACATTCTTAAATTTTAAGAACCTCTACGTTTCCCACTGTATCCGAACAGTTGTGTTTTGCWTAATACCCACTTCAAAGATCTTTATTTTTCTTTTGGCATTCCAAACCCCAACTCAATAGCAAATTTAATGACCCTTATTCTTGATATATTATTTTGTCAAAGAAATTAGTCACCTGCACAACTATGTGTGCACCTTCAGATATCCTCTAGTGGATGGTATGTTTTAAGTGCTATTTAAGTAAGCAGTTTGAGAGTTTTTTACTTACAGATAAACACAGACAGCAATTGCAGGAAACATTTACAACAGATAAACAAATCTGCCCCTGACAGTGGCAACTACAGCAGCTATACCACACCAAAACACTAGATAATTGTTCAGTCTGTTACAGTTTAGAGAACATTTCATACGTAGCTGTCAAATTTTTAAGTTATGTTTTTGTAAAAAGCTCCTTGAGAATGATGTGGAATCTTTCCCATTTTTTCTCTCAGGAGTAGAATCTGAGTCAGCGTTTCTGTGGTACAGGAAGAGTGTGGTCTTAGTTTTTTTCTTTCCCTTCAAATGCTTTAAGAYCATCTGGTCCTGCTAGGACCAAACTGTACCTATTATGCCTAAGACTGAAGAGGAATCTTGCAGCAAAATGAAGCTTGAGGAATCTCTTTTACCACGTGTCTTGAAAGAAACAGAAAAAAGCTCAAACCTACATACTTAAGGCATGAGTCTATTCAGTATTAGCACTTGTAAGACAAGACACGGTTTGGCAGTCATGTGAAAGCCATGTAATTTAACAAATCATCCAGACAAGTGCAGATCCTACCCTGTCATAAAATGCTTTTGCTTCAGTTGTATTTCAGATGTACTAGATATGGCCACCAAAGCCAATTTAAACATCAACTGGTAGTMTCTTTCATTATGGTCTCCCCATTCCTATGCATCCTTAACAGGAAACACATGATAAAGCTCATTCCATATTGCATATGAACTTTACTCAAAGCCAACACAGTATGCTATTTACCACCTAAAGTAACCTTGTTCTATGTTGAAAATATTTCAGAAATCTTCAGTATCAGTAATTCTGTTCCAATACTTTGCAACAAGCTTTTGTGTAAAACATTTGTTGACTTGCAAGTAATTAAAAATCTGCATTTTTTAAATTTTATTCAATGGTGAATAGCACAAGAACATTTTCCATCAAATAAAATCACAGTTAATTTGGAAAGCTGACTTCATTAACACAGTTTTATACTAGGCACATGAAAAAAAAAATGTTTTTTAATCTGAAGTAATTTGGTAAGTTATTGATAAAGTATTGAGGATTTAAAAAAAAAAAAACATACCATAGCAAATCCAACATCTGCCTTCTTCAAAGCTGGACCATCATTGGTACCATCACCAGTTACTGCTACAACTTGCCTCTGGTCAAAGACAGTGCTGTCAATTATGCCTAAAATAAAGTGACATAGAGGTGTTACAGTTCTAAATTGACAACACGGCAAAGACTTAACCTGAAAGAGAAACCTAACTTTGTCTTCCTCAGTCATTAAAAAAACAAAACAAAACAAACAAAACCAATAGTCACTAAAAAAGTTCTTTTTGGCTCCATTTCTCGAGCAGAAAGAAAAAACAGTTGAAAGCACCTTCATAGACATTTCCCACTGTTCCGACCTGATGTTTTTTCCTAGAAGCACACAAAAAAAAATTCTAGCTTTACTTAAAATCTCAGAGTTTTTACTTGCCTTTTACTAGAGTGTGTTTGTCAGTGGGAGAAGATCTTGCAAGAACACGGAGCTTTGGCCAAATTTTATCTATTCGCTCTTGCTCTATCTGCAGAAAGAGCATTGATTATATTTTACACAGGTAGAGGCTTAGAATACCTGTTGATGTGCTTGACCATGCAGTCAGCATGCTTACCTCTCCTTTTTCATTGCGTATTCTCCTGTTAAAGTCCTTGCCCTCTAAACACAGGAAGTCTTCACCAGGATTCAAAATACCACATTTTAATGCAATAGCACGAGCAGTGTTAATGTTATCACCGGTGACCATACGTACAGTTATGCCTGCACGTTGACATTTTCTTATTGCATCAGGTACCTGTAAGCAAGGAAAAAACCCCACAGGCTCAGAAACTGTACATTAGTTATATAAATCTAGACATGTGAGGGAAAGGAATGTTTGTGGCTCCATATAGGMTAACTCTCATTTAAAAAATTAAAACTGTAGTTATGCAACATAAAATTAAAAAAAAAAAAAAGCATACCACAATTCTTTCCCTAAAATCCACACAAATGGCAATTCTATCAACAGGCTTTGTGTTGCTGTTATGTCAGTTCCCCTCCCTTTTGCAATTTTTCAAATACTGCAGAATTCAAAARTACCACAAAAACCTCATGACATATTACTCTGTACTGAGTACATGATAATGTGAAATAACCTACAGCTCATACTGTGCCACTTCGCACATGACTTTTACTCAGAAATGCCAAGAGTACAGCTCAGCCCCCATTTTCATGTGCATGTGGAATAAAAGCTTTCACTTTTACACCTCAACCCCAAGCCAAACTCCTTGCTCTCAGTTCTCAGGTGACAAGCTCACCTCTCTCCATCATTCCCCATGAGAAGCTGGCAACAAGCACAGTGGCTAATCCAAACCTAAAGTCCTAATATTCCAAGTGGTAAAAAAAAATGACAAGTTGTTTCATTTGCTGAGACCCTGCACAGTAAGCACCTTAAGTTATTAGTTTGCACAGAGCTTCAGTAACACAGCATAAGTGACATTAAGTAGTTTTAATCTGCTTTTATAGCTCCATTAACTTTCCCTTCAAGAAATTAGATTTTCATTTATTCACTATGCTTAAGGCATACAATAGCACTTCTGTTTCTTGTAATCTGCATGACGAAAAACATGAATCCCATTCAAGAGAATCACTACAGCTTAGCTGGTGACCCTACCTCAGGTCTCACAGGGTCTTCAATCCCAACAACAGCAATGCAGGTCAGACCAGTAACGATATCATTTTCGTTGTCCCACTCTGGCTCAGGCTCCCCTGCTGGGAAGTCTCTGAATGCCAGGCAGATGGTTCTGAGACCTTCAGAAGCCATTGGCTCAATTACAGTTTTCACAATATCATCACGGTCCCTAGGTCTAAATACCTTTGGTTCTCCATTAGCACTCAGTATTTTGAAGCACCTGAAAGGAAGGGTTAAAGAGTTATCACATTTTAAGCAGATGTTCAGCCCACTCTTTAGCTTATTAATCAACTCCAATAAGTTTCTATAAGCTTTCTTTTTACCAGGCTCACAGGCACTAGAAGACAGTAGCAGCATCTCTAAAGTAATCTTCTCCATACACATTTTATTTGTTCAGTTGCAAAAACATCCTTTCTGTAGAAAGCTGACTGAGCCAGTCATCCCAGGATGACAGTAAYGCCTGAAGAATTTTGCATACAAACATTAGTTACCATCCCTTTCTCCATTGTATGCAAAAAACTGGTGCCTGCACTGCTTGAGTCAGGCAATCCAGATTCAAGTTTGACAAAATAATCCCAACCTTATTAACAGCAATACAGCCTCAGAAGTAAGCACACTTTCAGAACATGCAGGAGCTGCTTTAGCAGCTGCAGGCACCAAACTCACAGCACTGTAAGCAAAATAAGGTACTGCTACCCTTAAGAATCGGAAGGCTTGCAGCCCTCCCCTTGCCCCCCCAATCTAAGTGCAGATAATTCAGAGGGCATCTGGCATCTGAGGCAATGTGAAATATTAAATTAAAAACAAATACTTAAACTGATTTAAATGTTTGTATAAAAGACTAGATTCACTGCTATGTACTGTGGCATTTCTATACATGCTCTCTTAGTTGTTACTTCATGCCAAAGATGCCGCTGCTGTCAAGGACAGCGTATGTACTTTAYAAATATTGATGCCATGAACCCAACACTACCAAATATTTTGAACAAGAAATTTAGTCTTGTTCATGCATCCTCTGAAAAGTTTTGCTGTAAAATAACACCACATGCACTGGTTATACAAATTAGTACCAACACACAAAAAAAAAAAACCAAACAAAAAAAGACCCGAACAAAAAAAAACCCAAAAAAACCCCATGGCTTTCATTAAATAGCAGGTTTAGACCTTGCAGAACACTGCAAAGGTGACTGCTGTTACAGTTAAATGTTTAGCCCAAGGATTTAAGGAATTCCCTAAAAGTTTCCACTTTAAACAGGAAATTAAAATGAAGCAGTTCCTTAGAGCTTTAAAATTCCCACCATAACTTAAATTTGAAATCTATGTGAATTTCCTGATCTTGGTTATTTGTTCAAGTGTCAGCAATCATTAAGGATATCTAGCTGCGATCATAAGGCTGGTGACAAATTAAAACATTCCAAGATGACTAAATGCATGTAAAGAAGTTCTATGTGAAGACTGCATTGAAACTCACTTCAAATACTTCACTTAGTGATAAGAAAAAAAAGGAGCTCTGCTTACAAAAATTCTGCATTTCTTTTACACTTATTAGTGACTCATTTGTGTCTTATAAATGTTCATGTTTAAGTTTCAGCATTCAAGTGCAGTCATATATGTTACAATACAGAAGGAGCAGAACAACTGACAAACCAGGTTACAAGTACTGCATATGAAGCAGCTTATGATGGCTAAGTGTTTTTCCTAAGCAGTGCATTCTCTGAAGAAGTTTCCTATTTGGATACTATTCCAATAATATCCAAATCAGTCCAAGGTTTTCTTGTTCTTTGCCAAATGCCCTTATTAATTTTCTTATCTCAGCTCTTAAATTAAGTGGTCCACATGAGTCTGGAAGTAATGAGTTCTAGTGATTTCTACAGTTCAATTGTCCAGTATTATAAGTTACAAAGTACTTCAGAAGGTAGAATTAACGTAAATATAGGCATACCTATTCACTGATGAGAGTTACCTATTCACTGATGAGAGTTGTCTTAAAATTTAGCTATGCAAAAAAAAGTTTAGATTTTAAGTTCCATACCAAGACAACCAAGACTTTAAAGACTGATTTTTTTGTTCTCTGAAAAAAAGCTGAGGAGAAGGAAGATTTCACCTTTTTTCAGTAGTACATTACTACTTTTCTAGATAATTATTTGGGGMGCTATTAGTAATCAAAAAAGTAAATTGGACTGATGAACATCAGCTATGTGATACTCAGACTTGAAACAGTTTGATATTAAAACCAAAAAGGACCTAGCTACCCACTGCTGTTCCTAGAGAATATGATAAAAAGGTTTGACGTCTCTCCTCACCTAGTTAGCTTCCACAGATGACTTCACACCTATAAAGGTTTGTCCCAGTGGTGCCTAATCGCTCTCTAAGTCTAATCTCATTCTAATAAATCCTTTATACATGGGCAGATGGATAAGGAAGCAATTGCTTTGTCACATTAAAACTCCTCGAGCTGATCGAACATTCAAGTTCAACTTCCTGTTAAAATGATCAATTTGAACATAAAGTTGCACAGTCTAAGAAGTAGTATGCCAAAAGTAATCGCTTTTCAAAGGTACAAGTTCTTCCTGGAATTTAGGCATATCAACKGATGCGATTTTACTAGAAGACAGATGAGCATTTTGACCAACACCATCTAAAAGTAAAATAGTTTAACTGAAGCACCACAAGTATATACTTTTTCTTCTTTTATTCCTTTTTTCTTTTTTTTTGTGAGGGGTGGGGCTGGGGTGTTTGAAGTGACTAAAGTGCTAATTGTCCATCTTACTGTAGAAAGTCAAACTGAAGGAGACAAGCTGTGAAGCTGCAGTCACACAGGCATGAGACTGCACTTATTCATGATTAGAGAGACAAGTATTTCACAGACTATGTGACAAAGTTTAGCATATCAGTCTCCCCACCTATAATAACATTTAGCCAAACTTAAGTGCTGAATCTCAATAGTAGTTGCTCTTACTTTTTAAGAACTATCTCAGAGGCACCTTTACTGAATATCCGGAAACTGCCATCAGAGTTTTTTAACACAGTACTCATCGATTTTCTAACAGAGTTGAAAGTGTAGACTTTGTACAAATCCTCTTCTGGTATCTCATTTCTTACATCCTGATAATCACGTTTTAAGTCCAAGAGCAATCCCAGCAAGGCACATTCAGTCTTATTTCCAACATGACGTGGTAGGCCACCTTCTTTTTCAGGAGGCTGCAAGAAGAACAAGAACCATCACTGATTAGGTTAACTTATAAACCACTGAAGCACAGCACTTAGAAAACAAGGAAGGACAAGCTCATTTCTGGGACGGGGAGGTTTCATTTTTCAGTAATTATTTTATGAATGTCTATGAGTCATGATTCAAAAATCATACTGCTGTTTTTTTAAGGTAACTTCTGCTACCTGTTTAGGATCCTTCAGTCCTTCAGAAATCAGCCATTAAGTTTATATCAATCCCCATTAAGTTTATATCAATCCCAACATGACCTTTCTAAAACATATTTTCCATTACTTGATATATATATCCAATCAACTGAGTGTGGACCATGAACAATTATTTCATATTTTAGAAGTACAGGTAAGTTCACATATACTGATCTAAGCAAGCTAAATGGCATTATTTCTGCTAAATTAAGTATCGTCTCCTGTAATAATTCTTCAATGACTTATAGACTATGATCACATCACCTGTTAGCCTTCTTCTGAACAAACTAAGACTTTAAGCTTCTTAAGTCTTACTACAAGTTCTGTTTTCCAGGCCACGGCCTATTTAACTGGAAAGAATTCAGAAAAAAAGTTTCCACCCCTTTAATACCAGAAAAAGTTTCTTATTCCAGCAATRTGGGATTTGCACGTACTAGTCCTATAAGCAAAGGAGTATTCCTCTCAAAATATTTGAGCTTATAGAGCTATAACACTATTTTTTTTGCAGCAAAATAGGAAGAAGCTCTTACTCAATCTGACACGTCTCAGGTGCCTAGAGCTGAACTACATTAATCATAAGTCAGTGGTTTATTTTCATTGTTCAGAGCTGCAAGACTTTAAATTTGGCTGTACTGAATACTGGCACTTTCAAAATGTTTATTTTAACATGCAGTTTCAGAGGTGTGGTTCTGGGGTCTCCAGTCAGAGATATCAACATCCAGAAATAAATACATCCATGGCACACAATGATAATACAGAGACTCAAACACCTGACAGATGAGGAAAAGCTGGAAGGGCTGAGACTATTCAAACTGGGAGAATCTTATTGGTGTGTATCAAATGCCTGAATAAAGTAGGGGAGTGGAACAATGGTAAAGACTAGTGGTGCCTAGTGAGAGGACAAAGGCAATGGATACAAACTGAAGCCCTTGAGATTCCATTTCAAGATATGGAAACACCTTTTTACTCTTAAGTGTGATCAAATACTTGATCAGGCTGCCCAAGGGTTGCAAAATCTGCATCCTCTGAGATTCCTAAAGCCTGAGTGGACATAGCCCTGAGCAAAGTGCTCTGGTTGACCCTGCTTTGATCAGGAGGAGTGGATCAGAGGTTCTCTCAACACATCCCCTTCAGCCCTCTCTGATTCTGTAAAAGAAACTAACTCTCCTTCAGTGGATGTAATTCAATTAAAATTGTAATCATAAGGGACTTGGTCAGTTTATATTCATGTTTCTCTTGATACAGAAAGACCTTTAGAAAATAGACTGAAACCCCTCACATGCTGTAACTCATTAACATATTTCCATTTTGTTTCAGAGAAATTGGTGCTGTTAAACTCTCTGTGCTGCCTCAAATACTGCTACTGTGGAAATTCTTGAAGAGGTGTACCGTTTTTTCTAGCTGATAAGTAGCTTTTGAACCGAGTTTTCACTGCTATTTTGTGTACAAAGCATCCATAGTGGAAGCTACTACAAAATCTTGAAATGTCAATTCATTTACTGAATCTTAATTATTATTTTTATGCATTTAAAAATATAAATTATGTAACATGTTGGAATGACTACAGCAAGAAAGCTATGTTTAGAATTTTAGAAAATAATGCACACAGAATGTTAAATAATCCAATTTTTAAAATGTTTAACAATCCATAACTCTTTTTACTTCAAAGTACTTTGCAAGTTTCAAACAACCTTTTGGCAAATACATTACAATTCTAAAGCTTACAAACTTATGCAACAGTATCTGAAAAAAAAGCCATTTAAATCCTCACCTATACTTATATTTTTTCATTATATTCTACTTAATGTACTACTCTTAAATGTTTATTTTGACGCAGCACTCTAATCCAACCAAGACACTCCCTAAGCAGGGTAAATAACTCCACTTATAAAAACAAACTTAGGCACAACTGTGAACTTAAAAGSAAAGTATCTTCCTGAGATTATATCTTTGAATTGTCAGTTCTAACTGAAATAAGCTATTTTTTTCCATTGAGTTTCAAATGAATGGTTGAGCAATTTACAGCAGATACAAAAAAGACCTTGCACTGCATTGTGCCACACACTTACACTGAAACAGCCATGTGGCCATCAGCCAATTTGCATCTTTTGAGGAAGCTGAAGAATGAAGGAATCTCCACTTACCAGTATTTTGGAAGTATAAGCACAATTAACAGAAATTCCTGTCACAAGATAAGCCATTGTTTTCTCTGGAATTGCTTCTGGTTCTGGAATTTTTTTGTAATGTTTTTCATTGATGTAGGCTTGGACCACGGTCATTCTGTTCATAGTCAGTGTTCCTGTTTTATCTGAGCAAATGGCTGTTGCATTGCCCATAGTTTCACATGCATCCAGATGTCTCACCAAGTTGTTATCTCTCATCATTTTCTAAGAAAATAAAAGCAGTTAGCAGCAATCGATGAGCATTACTTCACTTCAAAAATTCTCATTTATGGTTTCCAGTCTTACACAGCAGTTTCAGAAAAGAGTCATTAAATTATCTGGCATCTTTCAGGGGAAGAATTTGCAGCTGCAACTTTCAGTATAGATTCCCTTAAGTCTATTATATCACAGTAAACTCAATTTTGAACAAGGTATATAAATGCAGTCTCAATCTCCTGTATCTGCATATCACCCTGACTACTGATACTATTYAGACTGTTAGGAGCAAACAGTTTATGATGATATTTGGAAATTGAGGAGAGGTAAGGTTTGAGCTATACCAAACACAATCTTTAGAGGAAAAGTCTAACACAGCTTATTTGAACTATCTGAATACTGATAATATAGATTTCAAACATTCAGACTCATAATGAAACACAAACTGGGAGCCTAATGTGTCAATTAAAAACGTGAAGAGTACACAAGTTTTAGGTTAAATATCACTTTGAATTATTTACTTAGCAGGTTTGTATAGTATTTCCACCTCTAAGAAAAAGATGAAGTTCAAATGATACAATAAGGGAATTACTAGCGAGTGCTGTAAGTTATTAAGTTTTAGAACACAGCCTAAGCATCTTCTTCACAATCAGATTTTAGATATAGTCTCAGCATGCTGAAGCAGTAAAAAATGAAGAACACAGAGAGCTTAAGTTAAAAATCATGCTGCATAATAAAAAGAGAGTTAAATGTTTTACACCGTTCAGTCCTCAAAAAAAAAAAAAAAATCTATCTGGAAGCTTTTGTAGCAATTACTTAACACATCAGCTAAGYAGAAGTTCAGATTTACAGAAGAATTTGTTATTTGCAATCTCTAAGGCATCTATTTATTGTAAGCAAATGCTATAAGGCTACCTACTGAATCCATTCATCTCTAGCTGGTGACAACAGGCTGGCAATGCTCACTGTCCCTGTTATTGTGCATTCATTCAGAGATGAATAAAATACTGCAGGAGAATTCTTATGCAGTTCAGGGAAACAAGAAAAAAGCTTCTTCCCAGTCTGTTTTATATATCTATAACTCAGTTCGCATTTAACATGTGATGAATACACCCACCTACCTTTAAAATCGATTTGCCCTGAACCCACTTACCTTAACAGAGTAAGCCAGAGATATAGTGACTGCAAGTGGAAGACCTTCTGGTACTGCCACCACCAAGACTGTAACTCCAATAATGAAGAACTTCACAAAATACTGGATATAAATTGGCGTACATTCAGCAAGCCAAGGTCTCTTCTGAACCCAGAAGGTATCAATTACAAAATACAGCACAAGGATAATGACTGTGATTGCAGACATCAACAAACCTTGTTAAAAAGAGAATAAACAGTTTTAAAACATTATCTCAAATATTTGGCAATACAGACTGTGGGTAAGTGCAAATATTTCTGCTTTCACAAAAGCTAGTTTAGAACTAAGGTTTTAAACAAGCAAGTCAAAACACTAAGGTCTTTCTCAGAGGTGTTCCAGCTTCCAATGGAAGTATTTCTTCATGCATTTCACCTAGAAATTTCTAGAAATCTTTTTTTCTTCAATTTCATTGAAAAGCATAGAGCTAATTAGTAACAGGACAAACCAATATGTAAAGTCAATTGACTAAGCAGAATAAGAAGTGAAAAAATTCAGGAGGCCTTCACCAATTGTACTGCTGACTTATTCAGTGGAGTGCTTCAGTGCAGTTTCAAAGCAGGAGGACAGGAAAATCCATACATGAAGTAGATGAGTATTAAGGCTGTGTGGGGAAGTACAATGGGTCAAAAAGTACATAAAGGAAAACAAGCCCTCTTGGAAGATAGAAAGTTTGAAAAGGACAGTAGTTTACAGTAAACATATAAAGGAATTTGTTAATTTGACTGAAAAATCAGCATTGCCATGCACAACTACAGAGTGCTACAGCTCAAAGTGTAATTGCTCTGTTTCAGGCCATAACTGCCTAATGATGCAAACGCTAAAAGTCAGCCTGTCTTGAGCTCTAGGCTGGACTACAAGTCTTCTCAAAATTCCTTCCACCCTGAATCGTTCCACAATTCTACATAGACCAAAATAAAACCTGAAATATTTGAATTACACACTGGATAATGTAGCCTAAAATTTACACTGAACTTTACTGTTTTAGTCTACTTTCAAGCAGCAACAAGTTACCAAATATTTTGATAAGACAGCTGAATATTTAGAAACAGCAAAAGAAATCAATAAAAATGTTACATATCACCAAGGCATTTGTTAAGTGGAAATTTCTAAACCCCTGAAAGTACTAGAGATAATCTGATTGACCATACCACTTTTTCCACACTTCACTCAATTTACAGTTCTCAGTACATTGCTGAATGCCATACCTAATCTAAAAAGATCTTTCATAACGGTTGTCCAAAGTTATGAAGCTGGAATTCTCTCTCATAGAAACTGGCACTTGAAAGCCTGAATTTATTTAAATCAAGCAAAAATAAAAGCCATTCACATGACATAGCCTGAGAGGACATCAGCACACTCAGGCACAATAGCATACTTTCATGCATTACAATTTTGCACTTAAGTAGCCAGCCTTGAGTGGTTTGATTAATTTATCTCCTCACAAATTATGCACATTCCAACTTCTTTYAACATGACATCAACATTGTACCTGCTTTGCCAATCTGAACTGCGAGCTTTGTGAGTTTGCCTTGGAGAACTGACTTCTCTTTCTTTGGCAAGTTTGCTTTCTTCTTGTCTTTCTCATCTCCATCACCACCATCCTCACTCTTCAGTGGCTGCATTTCCATGGCTGCACCATCCTGAGCTTTAGCTAGCAGTTAAGATGAAAAAAAGGTTTAGTCATTGGTGAGTCTCCCAAATCAAGGATACTTAAAAAGCTTAATATCCAGCTCCGCTAAATATAATAGTACTGAGTATCATCTTGTACCCAGAGAGGCCATACTACACATGAATGTTTAAAGCAGTGTACGGTGTATAGGTGCTGGAATACCAGGTTCATTGACGCATTTGTTTTGGGCAGATTCACTTACACCATCTTTACCATAAGCAYTTTGGATCTAAGGATTCAATAAACATTTTTATAGGAATGTCTGTGTCAATTACCTACAGTCTCAGAAAACAGAGACTTGCAAGAAAGAATCAGACAACCTGCATTTACCTTTGTTACGGTTTTCAACAGCTCCATCTTGCTTTTTACCTGTCAGAGAGGAATACAGTTTGTGTTTTAGGCTGGCTCTGCAGAATTCATTATTTTATGTGTATTTTTATATAATGACTACATTACTCTTCTAAAACAATAAACAGTAAATTAAAAAATTAAAAATAGTAAAACATGTAAATTAGCTCATAGAAACAGCTCACGTCACCTTTTGGACTTTACTTATCCCACACAAGACTGCTGCAGTCTTAATCCATGACAGTTTAAGTTTGCACAAATTACAGATGTTGACACTGTTTGTGAGGAAAGCTTTTCAAAAGACTTCCTGATGCATTTTTCTGAGAAAGATATTTGTGTCACTGAAGTGATTCTAGTGGTCTTCATCTTGCCCTGCTCTTCCAATGCTTGTCCCCAGTATCTGACTACCTCTGTAAACGAACTGCAGGATCTCACTTTGAGATTCAGTTCTTTTGTACGACATTGCAGAAGCTACTGTAGTATAAAATATTCATAAATCCACAGCAAAGCTTAATGGAGGTACAGCACTGGATTACTGGATCTGTGCTAACCCTATTTACACAAACGTAAGCATAATCTGTAGGCAACATACCATACATCACTGTGAGAACAGCTCAAGCTCATAACAAAATATCACTCCTTCCTGTGTTCAGAAATGGAATTCAACAAGAGGTCAAAAAGAAGGACAGTGAAATGGACATGAAAGAATTTAACCAGTGAAATATCCAAGGTAATTGGAAGACCAACATATCATGTGTTCTTTTTGGGGCTGAGCAAGTCCCAAACTTTACTTTTAAGTAAGGAAAGCAAGAGTCATAATCACTGTTTGTGAGAGCCTGAAATAAAAGTACAAAACTGAGGAACTTAGAATAAAACCCACACATTTTCAGTATCACTGGTAATTCACCAAGCCTTTGGCCTTAGGTTATTATGTCGACTGAAATTTACGAGAGTATTCAGATAGAAGAACAACACTTTATCAAGCAGCCTGTCTGCCATGACATTTAGTATCTCCACTACACTATTACTCTAGATGCAATCTGATTCCTATAAGATTTCCCCCAAGTACTCCCACAACAGCTGAACAGGAGAAAAAGTGACATCCAGAAGATGCCCCTTCACACTTGTTCAGAACTCATCATTGTTTCCTAATTTAGTATTTGTTCTTTCCTAGTTCCCCTCTTCCTCTTACAAGAGCAAAGTTCCACACTTGAGTATCACTCTGAACCAAGCCACACATAGCCATCTAAATATAGTCCCTTTAATCTCCTTAACATTCACAGAGAGGCTAATTTAGTTTAACCTGAGTTTTATCAAGGAGAATCTTATTAGGCACCTAACTTAAGGGAAAGAGGAAGCTGTCTATCCTGGGAGACAAAAAAACCCCACAAGTGTTCACATCCTAGGATACACCAAAACACTACTTGTCAAAGACTTCTGCTTTAGAATTATATACACTGGCAAAATGTCAGTAAGAGCTATAATCCTCCCCATATCTCCTGCAGCAGCAGGTATTGTCTGTTTCCTTCTCCTTCCTCTGTAAGGGGAAGAGCAAAGCATGGCAACTGCTTCATACAAATCCCTGCAAGTGCTGCAGGTCAGCTTTTACTCTTCCTATCAGCTTGAGCTTGAAGCTAACTTAAAACTTTCAATTCTTGTAACAGTTTTTCTAACTTGTGAAGAAACTCACTGCTTTTTTTTCCAAGTTTGAAGAAGGGTCAGAGTTGTAAACTATTTGTGGGTTAGGACAAGACAAAAAGACTTCAATCCCGATTCTTGCACAGAGCACACATTTCTACAATTGCCTATTTAGTTTGAAGGCCCTAAGATTTCTAAACACATTTCTGTATGACTTTCTCTCATATTCCTCTGATTAAGTATATTTTGGTTTATATTTAAATTTTTTGGTTCTAGTGCCAAGAAGCCCCAGACTTAGTCCCATCCAAAAGACTTCACAACAGTTTCATGAAAAATTTTCACTGTGAAGCTTAGTCCTGAACATGCCTCATGAGCACTAGTATCAAAACATTACTGCTTAACATTTCAAAGCTTTGATTCTCAGGAGAAAGGCTAAGGTTAGACAAGYCACCGTGTAATAAGGAAGACAGTCCATTCCACTCTTCACAGAAGGGCTCCAAAATATGCTCAGGTAAAGCCCCTCATCCCTCCAAAMATAAAGATAACAGAAAAGTGCCACTGAGGATTTGCCTCATGTGTATCTCTGAGCATTCAGAATTTCAGCTCCGAAGAAACGGCAGAAGAAGCTGTCTGCTCATTTTTTACCAAAATCAGTCTTACATATTCTTCAGATAYTGACAAGGTCAGCAATATGAACGACCTAAGCTTTTTCCCTTCRGGTGTTACTGAAGTACTCCCTATAAGGGGCATTCTCTATCTTTCACATGCAGAACTAGACATTTACTGGGTATAAACAACTATTTGCTATTAGATCCATGCACCTTGAAGTTACACAAAATGACAATTTAACTATTTATACATGGCATGTATGGCTGGCTACTAATTGCARACTTTTAAACTCCAATTGATCAATCAGATCTGAAATTTAATCAAAACTCCATGTGACAAGAGTCAGTAGCAGTGGTGCACTCTCAGGTCACAGAACATAAGTTGATTTCTTTTTCCTTTGAAATCTACAGAACGTATGAGTTTTTTTAAAAGATTTCTGGCTTTAGATAACTAGAGTATGTTTTCATCCAATAACATTCAAAAGTTCACCCTTCCTCCCCCACCAAGGTATTTAAGGTTATTATGCCTACTTTTCTTTTCCTTCTTCTCTTTCTCCTTCTCCTTCTCCTCATCATCTCCTCCAGCCCCAAGTAAGGTAAAGATGATTCCAGTCTGGGAGTTCACACCTACGGCAGTAACCACCATTCTTCCAGAGCCTTCCATCACATGTGTACCTGAAAGATTGAATTGGGTTTTCCACTGAGACTTGAGCACTTACATGGCAGAGCACATAAGTACGTTGAGGCAATAAATTCACAAACTTGTCATTGATGAAACTGTGATCTGCGTATATGTACCACAGTGCTCCCCTAAAGCTTTAACGGCCAAAGCCATCTGGCAAGTAAACCCATAAGCAACTACATAAAATGTTTGTCAGTTTTAAGGGTCTGATCRCTCCAACGAAGTTTTGTTCACGTGTACTGGTTTGAGATACTTGTAGGAGTCAAAGTAGATAAAATRCAGTTTGCTAGTTTTAACCTCAAAATTTTAAATAACCAGGTTACCACAGAAACAAACCACTTTCTTCAAAAATTGTTAAACACTACACACCTGACAGCAGCATAGGATCTCTGTCCAGAGATTTCTTAACATGGTCAGATTCTCCAGTCAGTGAGCTTTCATCAATTTTGAGGTCGTTTCCTTGAATGAGTACACCATCAGCTGGTAAAAGGTCACCTACGAGAGATCACTGGGTATGTTGACTGCAGTTCCTTTTTTAAAAATAAAAGAAAGTTCAACTTTAAAAATATGTTTACCATATTTCACTTGTGCAATATCTCCAACAATTATGTCAGCTACTGGTATTTGGATGACTTGGCCACCTCTGATGACTGTGAATTTCTGTTCTTGTTCAATACGGCTCTGCAATCCCCGAAATTGTTTCTCTTTACTCCAGTCATTGAAAGCTGTTACTAATACCACACAAACTACAGATAGGAGGATTGCTGCTCCTTCAATCCAACCTGCTTCAGATTCCTCCTCTTCTTCACCAACATTTACTGATCCACATACTGCAGAAAACAGGTTTTAGATTTAAGAAAGTTCACAAAGATATTTCAGCAATGAAGAAAAGTTTTGGCAAACATAAATAACTAATAACTGCTACACATTTTCTGTGCTAGCCTTCTCTGCAATTTTACCTTTATTTTCCATACGGGAAATATACAAAGAAGCTAAAGAACCTGAAAGCTAGAGCAACTGGAGGAAGTTAAATCACCCTGCTTAACTGAACATAACAGAAGTTGATATGGAGGAAGTTACCTGTCTGTATTATCTTGTTAAATGATGGCATAAGAATACCAGACTGGTTAACAACCTTCTGCTTTCTCAACATATCCCACTTTACGATTGTCTTARCAAGCCAAGTATCATAGCAAAAATTCAGTTCAATTCAGAGCTTGATCTCTCTATTTTCTGCTTGGAAGTATAAATATATCTTCATTTCTTAAATTAAAAAGTTACCAGTGACATATTGCAAATCAAGGAAAATTTAAGACTTGCTGACTCCCCAGAGAAAGCCCATAACTGCAAATTATAAATTGCTTAAATATTTGAGGCAAAGCTAAAAAAAAACCCCTTGCACAGAGACTGGATTTAAACCAAGTCTTAGTTCCCATTGCTTGCAATTTACCTTTGGCATTATTTTGGTCAGAATAATACCAGATCATGACCAAGGAAATCTCATGTTGCCCTTTTAAGGCAAGCTAGAGTTTTAGTAATGTGCTCTCAATAAGGGGCAATAAGCTGCTTTTCCACTGAYTTACTGTCTCCCATCAGATTTACAATATAGGCATGTTGAACCAGAAAAGTCAGTAGTATAAAAAAGGTAGATACCTACCTTTTAAAAAGTTTACTTACATGATTCATTTCCTCCTGGAGGCTGGTAAAAAGAAAGGCCCAAGGATACTACGGCTGCAATTTCTAATATAATTAGTGTAACGTCCTGTAGTGCTTCCCATACTAACTGAAGAAATGTTTTTGGCTTTTTAGGAGGTATAAAGTTCTTCCCAAAAACTGCTTCTCTCCTTTCTATATCTGCTGGATTTCCACTTAAACCTATTTAACAATAAGACAAAGTTAGTGACAGTTACATGCATTTCATGCTCACTTTAGTGACTGAGGTTTCCCACTCATGGAATCAAGTCCCACTCCATATTTCAGTAACAATACCAAAAATGTCCTATCTCAAATATAATTAYGTAAGTAATACCCTTAAATCAGAGTCACTGTAGAAAAGCTAGCTATATTTTATAATTCTTACCTTGCCAAAATAAAGTTGATGGTCTACCTGCTTAATATGTCACTTAATGTGACATAGAAACAGAGTAATAATAACACACATACCTTCTTGTAAACAAGTTTGCAAGACAAGATCATTAGTAGAGTTACTACTACTGAGACTGAGTAGCACCATAAAGCTTTAGCAAGACCACAGCCCATGAGGGCAACTCTGGTTCCCACTGTAGGGAATCTGTATTCAGAGACAACAYCCTAGGATCCTAAAAGTAATGTAACATTTATAATGAGATATTTACTGTCCATTATAAATCTTGTATTTCCATGATAACCGTTATAAATCTTATATTTGCATAATAATTTATYATATGAAATAATATTAAACATTGTTGAAGGGCTACAAGCATCATGAGGAAAGATGCAACCACTTTATGATGCTGCTTCCACCTGAAGYGGTGGCAGTTATCTGCTCTTCTAAAGCTTCACTTTCTATCTCCTCTGACACAGAGAGCCCATGTTTAGTTCTATGTTGTAGATGATGCAGACATCTTCTGTCTTAAATGGCATATTTGAGTCCTCCTCTGTCTCAATTCCTGTGCCATCCTTTAGGGACACCAGCAGACAAGAGTGAGGGGCCCACAGGAAAGGCTACTGCGTGTTTCAAGAGCTTGCCAAGACCTTAAAACTAAAGGAACACCAAGTAGCTTCAGTGCAAGATCATGCACTCAAGGTCCTCTGTGAGCACACACTCATCTTAAAAGTTTCCAGCTGACTAGCCTACCACTCAAAATTAAGTTACTGGCTCATTTTTCAAAGCAAAATTGCCAAGCTTCTAGTCATGCTCAGAGCAAAGGTCTGAATACTTTGACCATATTGCCTCCAAGGTTATGAACAGCACCTGCTCAAAGGCAACTATTTTCTTAGTAGCAATTTCTTTAGTAGCTAACTCAACTGCTTAATGATAAAGACATTGCAAACATGCTAGGTAATCAATAAGAACAGTAGACACTGCAGCTGGCTTTCACAGTATGGCGGGCATTTGGCACCTCTGACAGACATTTCCCACAATCGTCACATATTTCAAGACACTTTTAAAAGACTACTGAACTGCAAAGCTCAATTTTAAATGCCAACAACTGCTATATAATCACTTAACTGAAAAGCAAATTAAGTGCAGATCTTTTCAAAAGTGAAATGAATTAAACATACTCTGGGTATTTAATAAATTAGATGTATTCTAACACTCTTTGATTCACCCTGATTCATGCCTTTGGAGGTTTAATACAAGGGAGCAATTGTACTCATTAGCCATACCCCTACACTTCTTGCATTTCAAGCTTTAAGGTGCTTACCTTCACTCTCAACTCTAAGAGCACGGCAAGACTATTTTCAAAACCAAGCTATAAATTGCAGGATCAACAGAAACTCAGGACAGCATGGCCATTCCAAAAGGCTGGGCCGTATTGCTAGTTTGCAATAAATACCACTTCCCTTTACCATGGCAGAGTTTGGAAGTTTATGTAAATAATGTCAGCAACATCCCTTTCTTCCTCCCTTTGCAGGGTACCACAGTGCAGAACATCAGAAATACATGGCAAAGATCTTTGAAGAATGAAAAACCTTTCCCARTGAAGCTATGTAAAGTTTAAGCTACAATCAGAACCACTTAGTAAAGATTAGTAAATAAGCCTAGCAAAGACAAAAACCATTTGTATTTTTAGTATACTCTGTAATACACCATGCATCACTACTGAACTTGCTACATTTACCACACAGATGGCAACTTCACAGTTCACAATCTACAGTCCTGAGGTCAGAACTACTGTCATTATATTCTTCATTATGTGTCTTAACTAGGGTAATTTATTTATTTGGGGTTAAGTTTGGAAAATATTAGGCAAGGGACTAGTTAATGCTTCACATACAAATTTTATTAGGAATAAGTTACTACATAATCAAAATTATGTAAACATGTGGAAATATCGATCTGTCCAGATAAGACAAACTTTTGCTACTAAAAATGTGTCAAACATTCATTTTGCACATTTGTACACATGTAAGCCGTAACATCTACTCAGTGGCCTTTTTTAAAGTAATACTGGTAGAGGACTGTTCCCATTTCTCATTTCAAATCAGACAGGTTTGATCCAAATTTTGCCTGAAAACAGACATTGCCTTACATTGTCAACAACTTCACAGCAAGAAATTGAAAAAGCTGAACTCATCCACTGCCTACCATGTCAGAACTACCTGTACTTTTCCTGTGAAGCCACTAGTAATTACATAGTGATAAGAGTTTCATGTCATAAAAAAAGCATCTGATTAGAAAATAGCGTCATGGGCCCTTGCAGGTATACACACAAGATTTTAGAGAGCTAGCATCAGTGCAGCACATAACAGTTTTCTGCACAGATCTTGCCTAGATTTTTTCCCATTAGTATTATCTCCTTTTTTATACTTACAGCTTGACCTCGAGAAAAGCACACACAGCTAGTTCTACCTTTTGAAGAGCTCTCCAGTACCACCTCCAAAAAATTTACAGCAGCTTACCTGACAGAGAGACTGATTCTCTAAAATTTTATGTAGTGATTCAGAGTCAAAATGACACCTCTGTTGGATACTGTTCTACCTCATCTTAATTACGCTTTTCTAGCCAGTGAACATGTTCAACTGTTGAAGCTTTCATGTGGTTATGAGCTTGTCTCATACTTAAAAAAAAAGGTGGTGCACTTTTATTAAGTCCATGACTGTATTTAACTCATTGCAGTGTACATCTAAATGTCAAATCCTTTGCAAAGGGAAAGGCCTTGATCACACAGCCCTCAGTACAGCACAAACAATCTGCAGGAAAGGGCATCCAGCCCTTTAGATTTTTTACTATGCTGACACTCATCACTCCCAGGAGTTGACCCGTGTGTTTATTACATTAAGAAACAAAGTGAATCCTGCAGTATATGGAGTATTTGGTGCTTAATGTGTCATGACTGTCTAAAGTCATATGCCTGCCTAGCTTGTGGTACTAATGGACCTTTAACCTTGCAGATCACTGTGCAACAGGATTCAACTCTCGGTTCAATTCCCAATTGCAGAAAACTATGTCCCTTTCCACTGAGAGAGGAAACTGCCTCTCAATAGTATGCAACAGGTCCACAGGGTAATGAGAGCCYATTGCTCCTACCTGAGAGGTGTTACACTGCTTCTATGCTGCAGTGCTCCAAACACATGCACTCTACAACTGCCAAGGAACAGAAGTTTGTGCTTCTCAGAATTTACAAACTTCTTCATCCTGAAATTGGTCTACTGCCATTCACTGGTAGTTCAGCTGTGTCAGCTGGCTACTTTCAGTTTGATAAGAGGAGCCCAATTCACATACTGATAATTTCAGGAGTCTGGCTTCAAAAGCAGATCAAGCCAAAACATGCTAAATGCAGATGTACCCAAAGGTACCTTACGGCATTAGTAGGCTGTTCTTGGTCCAAGAAGACAAATCTTTCCATAGCATTTCTAAAGAACAGAAAGCAATGGCTCTCCAGGATTAAGATAGTGGGTATTATACTGCCACCAACATGATACCACGTAGGTTAAAAGCTATGTGAGTCCTTAAGTGCAGAGACTCCACAATTTGCCAAAATCTTCATTTTGGTGACTGTCACTTATTCTCAACAGCAGGACTTCATAAAAAGTTTCAGTCAATGTTTTTACATATTTTTAATCTAACTACAGTTTACTGTAAATACAACAATATGTAGATACTACAGTACCTTACACAATATGACTTGCATCTTTCACAAATACACTAAAGAGTCCTAATTTACATTGGCAGAAATTAGTAAAAGACAGCCAGGTCTTAAAGAGAACTTCTGTAAGGTTCTCAAGAAGGAGACTTGATAAATTTATTTACCCATTTCTTCACATTAATGCAGTCTGTCTTGGAGTAACAATTCTAGAGAGCAAAAGCATCATGTAGTCACACTTCATAGAATGCCACTAAGTCCAGAATGGCAAAGACTCCAYAGAAGATGCTTATTTGTAGAGAATAAGATCATGTCATCACTGTGCAAATCTTCTAAGAGTGACAGTACMTGTTAATGCTTCAAGCTATATTGATGGTTATTTTGCAGGTTAATCTACAAAAATACTGTAGATTTTAAAACCAGACCCTGCTACCAACAATTCAATGTAGCACAAATAGAAAACATGTAACCACTTTTTAAAATTGCTGCATTAGCAAATGCAAGAACTAGGTAGGCACACAGAAGCATTAATAAGCCCTGCATTAGACTTTTAAAACCTTAGGCTACAACAGCATGATCTGAATTGTGAACTATAGGCCAAATGAACTATTCAGAAAAATTATGCTTTCACAGTGAGTTGAACATCGCTGTGTTGCATTGTTGCTTCATACCTACATCAATGAACTTTGGAAAAAAGTGCAACTTCACCATTAATACAACATCTCACATGCAGTTAGACCAACTGAAAAACTCTAGCTTACTTATTACCATGGAACATCTCTGCCTTAGAGTACCAAGAAGCAGTATTTTGTTATGGTAACCAAAATACTTTTGCAAATTTTGTTCTATTTTAAAAAGTATCTTGCTGACTCAGGCTTTTCTTAAATGGAGTTTCCTCAATAAGAGTGTAAAAATTGACTTACCTTCATTTGGTGAAGTTTTCAACTTTGCACAGATGCCATGTACATCACCATAGCATTCCTGTATTTTATGCAGTGCATCTGACGCTCGAAGTTCCATAAGAGAACGGAGCTCTGCAAGAGTAACTCCAAAATCTCCATGATTAGCTTCTTTGACAGCATTTTTCACGCCACTATATGCAACCGAGTTGTTTGCCATGTCACCCATGATGCATGCAGTCTTTAGTGTAGACAGTTTCCAGTAAGGAACAAGATTTCAACTTAAAATATTTCCAAAAGGAAAATAAATCCTTTGGGTATGAAGACAGTCAGGAGAGCAGACACATCACCCAAGCAAGAGACTCCATCTGGAGAGATATCTTTGAGGTTGTCCCATGGCGCGTTCTGTTCCCCAAAGCCAAAGGGCATGTACAATCTAGGGAGAGAATAAACACACATTCAGTTACATAACAGCTACATTCAAATTAATTCTAAGACAACCTTTACTCTTTGTACTGAGGTTATAGAACAAGTTTCTTTTTAATATCCTATATTTTTAGTTTGCATTCCACTGGCAAGACTGACAAGGGATAAAAAGGATGTTTCCCATCCCAAAACAACTTTGCATTTGTTGCATTTCCTTAAATCATAACAACTGTTGCCCTTAACACTGGTATTTTTCTACACATGTACATATGGCTYACCATCAAGCAGCAACTTTAAAAATACCTAAATTTAAATCTGTTGCCGGGGAAATGGAGCTTGAACCATCCACAAGTGACGTCACATGGGCAAAGAACATGCTTAAGTTAAAAATCCCTACTTTCCAATGCTGCTTTTAGCTCAGAGTTTGGTTAAAGCAAGCTTCTGTGTGTTGCCATTAATTCATTTGTGCAAACCTCAAGAAAAACAACTTCAACACTAAGCTAGCCCACACTAAGTACTTTTGTACACTAAGTAGGATTAGMTCTTCATGCAGACCTAGGTCTTAATATAATTTTTCACATCCATAGAGTTTCAGCCCCGCTCCAGCCCATTTCATCACAACTCCAGCCTTCCACATTTTCTCCATTTAATTCTTTTAACAGAGGAGAAAAATTGCATAATACTTAACTTCCAACAGAAGGAATAAGGAAATTGAGAGCAGCTCTTCTGTCTGACTATCAGTGCATTGTAGCTGAAAAATTACCATCCAGCAACAGGACTCTGAAGTTGCACAGACATTCTATATATAATCCCTGCCCAGCTGACACATCTTGCACGTACACATATATCTACACAGGAGCRCAGTGCACACACAAACTCTTCATGCCTATGTGAAGATTCACCATGTGMCAAAAATAGATGTCTGATCATGTAAGTCAGCTTTATTGACATGATGGAGCACGATGAGCATGTGTTAACAATATACTCCCCTGCAAAACGTTATGACTGCCAGGCTCAGACGAACAATAACTTGGACACTTCCAGGTCAACAAGACCCTCAGGTGTCATATGCCTAGCAAAGGCAAATGGTTATCACTGACTGCACTGCTTTATGAAGGCAAAACATCAGCAAAGAAAAGATTTCTAGCTACTGCCCTGACAGGTTAGAGGACTGTTTGGCTGAACTGYTGAGTCTGTACCTTGAAGCAAAGGTATAAGCACATAATTACCACAAATTTAAGGTCTCCAGGAAAGGCYTGGATCTCTGCTCTGGAAATAATCAGCTTCAGCTATACCAAATCTACCATTTAAAGCACCATGCCATAGTACTTCATTTGCACTGAGAACAACCACTGACACTGTAAGCCCCTGAACTGATATCATCCAACCACGAGTGACAGTCTCATCTCTGGCAGAACTACAACTTCTACAAGTACAACTGCTCTTCTCTTCCTATCACAGAAGATTTTGAGAAAAGCACTGTCTATGGCTGTTTTCCAGAGAGTGACAAAAACCATAAAGCAATCAACATTCGAATGCATAAAACTTMCAACATTCTGTAATATCAACAAAGTACTTATTTTAAAAATTTATTTTAGATCTTCATCGTTTTGTCTGTTACTTGCAACAAAATGTTACAACAGTTGAAGAGCTCATGGTGTTAGCCTGCATGGCAGGATGTAGTTTTGATAAAGACTAATGTCTTCTGCTAGAGGATGCTGCAAGTGAAGAGATTCATGCTAACCACGTATGGAAGAGTTTTCTTTAAAGAAATGCCACATTGTTATGCCCAAAAGCTGAATGTTGTTGTCCAGCTGGTAGCCCAGGAGGATTTATCAGCTGGCATCTGATCATAAGCTATGACAGTATAACAAGAAGCAGATCAGGCAAATGAGTTTGTATAGCTATGGAGAAGATGCTGCAGCTGCTAATTAGGCAAAAATAGACCAAGCAGAAGGCCCCACAACCAATTACATCCAACTTGATTCAATTTTAATTAAGAAAAGCTCTGTTCAAGCCTCTAGCAGGAGCCTTGTATTTGATGCCCAAATAACATCCAAATCCAAAAGATAAGGAAAGCAAAAGCTACAGCTCTAGCCACTACTCACTTGTCATCAAAAGGTTTTGAGTCTTGCTCTCCATACACAGGCATATTGAGTGGGCAAGACTTGATTTCATATACAAGTAAATTTAAGAACAGTAACACTGCTTAATCGTAAATTAATGTGCCTTCCACATCAGTTCTAGCTCCTCTATGCACCTATATCAATTTTTAYTAATCCTAACTGGCATCCTAACATTCCAGTGGACCCTTAGGGTTCACAGGCACTTTTCATAAGAATGCATTAACACTAGAAAAACAGTGCAGATCTACAGAACAGCTCTAGTCGGCATTTTGCACATCCATATTAGGAAAATACTGTGGAAAACTGAAAGGAACAGTGTGAAGACTTCAAATTATCAATCCTGAGCAAGTGTAGTTTTGCTCCAAATCATAAACATTATTAACTGTTACACAAAATCAAACCAGAATCTGCTTCAGTAGCCCATTTTTACTAGATATTTCAACAGAAAGCACAATAGCTTCTTGTCATAAAGGTACAGGATGGATTTAGTTTAAGACAGATTTTTCTGTATGAATCAGCAAAGAAACTTTCATTAAGAAATATCCTTAATACAGTTTTGATGCAAAATCTCACAACATCCAATCACTACCTGTTACAGCAAGTTCCAACTGTCCACTTTTGTAATATTAACAGTGACGCATAATGAAACTATTAACAGCAAAATTCAATAGCATAAAAGAAGAGTATTTTTATGCTAGACAGATCATCTAATAGTGTTTATCTTTTCAACTAATGAAAATAATGAAATATTTTATTTATTTTGACCAGTGTTCCAGTTCTCAATTGCCACATCAGCCATTTGAAATAACTGAATAGCATGAGCTCTGAAGTACCACAGTTTAAAGCAACTCACCTCAAACTTTTAATCTGTTAATATCTCAAATTTTAAACTCAAGAAACAGTTATCAAGCTAAAACTCATTTATATACCACTGCTGAATTTCCGGCATATTTAAAGATTAATTCAGCTGAAACCAATGCACACAAAATGATTAAGATGAGTCTATCTTTCATTAGACACATCAAAATTCGGATAATCCTTTGTTTACATATCACTGAAATTAGGAATAACTTAAAAACCTTTTCTTTGTCGCACTCAAGTTGCTAAAAAACTTGAACTGCAGAGGCATCTTTCAGTAGCAACACATACTCTCATGGGTAGGATTCAGACCCTTATGTAAATCACACCAAGAAGACCTTGCTGCTCTTTGGCTGTAGTAACTTCACCGACACGTCATGTCATGGCAGCTGCTTATGAGGAGCACTGTGGCTTAACTTCCCTAACCACGTCAAATCACTATTTATTGCTGAGGGAGTGTGCTTTGTTACCAGACTAAGAAAATAATTTAAAAACATAACCCACGAAACAAAGTTTTGATAACTTTGCCAGTGTCGGAAGTTCAACAACCTCATAAGACKCTGTAGTTGGACCAGAGAAAGGAAAAGCTCTAACCAGAAATCTCCATGTAGAGATGCTTACCAAAGTACAAAGAGACTATAGACTTACTTGTCTATTTAATGCTACCAGAACATTCTGTGCTAACCAAGCTAGAAGCTGCAACATGTTTCTYAATGTGTTCCTGTGACGACACTTCATACACAGATCCACATTAACTTCCTGCCCCAAAAAGCTGATACTATCAGAGCAGACTTGAACATTAATTAAGCTTCAGCAAGGCCTCTAGAAAAAATCCTTCACAGGTCAAAGTATTTCACAATTAGTGATTCAGTATTCAGTGATTCCCTCTATTTAAAAGAAAACCATCATCTCTGTTCTACAGTCATTAAAATTAAGGCTGCCTTGAAGACAGAGTTTGCAGGAGCTATTCATTGACAAGGGGTGAACAGCAGAGCTTAAAAGTGGCACAATTGGCCCACATGCACAGGACCTAGCATACCTTAGACCTCTTCCCAAGCTTTTCTTGTGATTATATTTGCATGTAATATTTACTTCACTACTTTCCTATAAGGAAATGCAATTTTCTTAATCAATTTTAAAACACTTATGCAAACTCATACCTCAAGAGTCAAAGCTCGAGCAATTACAGATCTTGTGTCATTCATTTTAATTTATGCATCTGCTTGAACAGATATTGCATTCAGATATTGAGCATTAGCTGGTACTAGCATTTGACCTTCAACAACACACTGAAACTGGGCACTGTAATATAGGAAAGGGCTTGCAAAGTGATTATCTCAGGAAAGCCTTTGTTTAATCTAATTAGTTCAATGAATACCAGACAGATCTGCATACCAAGAGGTTGTTGTGATAAAAGCTGTCCCCATATGTTTCAGCTGTCATGCCTTTTAACCTGCTTACATCTCTTAAGATACTGGAAATATAAAATATGCTTTTGCATACTTTAGTTTGGGTATGCTCCACAGCTTCAGGCCATCACATAACATTGCAGGGGYTGGGGGGAGAAAGGAGGGGAAGTTGTCTGTAATACAATTATAATGGAATATTATTACAATGGAAAGTAAAAGTAACTGAGAAAGTAACTTGGGTATCACACTGAAATTGTCTGCAGGGTCCCTCTGCAGGGTCAACCTTCTAAGTGGGAGACACTTTCCCACTACTTGTCAGGCTACAGAAACTCACCAGCTGTTTCACAAGAAATATGAATGAATGCCAATGAAGTACAACACTAATAGAGAGCAGTAGGCATTTACAAGTCACTATTTCATAAGTTTATAATGTGCCTAACTGAACAAATAGAAGTTAAATAACTTCAGTGGCATACTGTTGTTTTAGTGCAAGCATCTCACACTGCCTGGTTTATGAAGCGACAAGTGAAGATTTATGAAGAACTAAGAGGGAAAGGGCAAAAACAAAGTTTTTAGCATATGATCTTCAGCCTTAAATATGCCCGTGAGTTGTAATG